CGCCTTTTAATATCATGCAAACTGGTTTTTCGAGGAAAAGCTCGTGTTTGCTTCTAACTTATATCACTTGGTTGCTCATTATTCCATCACATCATCATCCTCGGCCGTGCCTTCCTCTTCTGGCGTACAGGGCTCAGTGCATTGTTATGAGGGATGAAACCGTTCTTATCTTCTCTGCTCAAGTTATCAGTGCTCTATGTTTCTGCTTCCAGCTAACTTGTTAGGCTTCTAATCTAGACTCTGTCATGCGCATTCTCTAATGCTATTTCTATAGAAATTAGCTGCGGCTAAAGGGAGGAATCTGCGCGTCTTTGGAAAAACTGTATTGAGCGCATCCTGTCCATTCGTTTGAGGCTGCGTTGTAACCCTGTCCAGTTTCCTCTATGGTTATTTTGACCCTATGTGCTAGTTCAGTGATGTCAAAATTATGATAGAGTATCAACCCTCTGACAAATGAAACTGTAGAATGTGGACTGACATCAGGCCATTCTGCTCCTTCCTGCAGCGAATAATGCCTTGTTGTGGCGTGGTCTTGTCCATTAACAACTTTCAATATCATTATGGGAAGATTTAAAGGGTGAGTGAGATAAGGTGACTCCCAGTAGAACATAAAAAAGTTTCTTTATGGTGAGGTGTGCCCTTTAGCTTTCCAGGAGCGCTAAAGCTTCATATACGTAGCTGAACTCTATGGCGGTTCATTTAGACTCTTTGAGGTGCTTGCACGGCTCGCTAATGCGATTTTTATATACATTAGCTCAAATCGTTTCTTTTGACTCTGCAGTCCGAACTGAGAACTATTTCCAGCGATATGGCGAGTTTAAAGCTGTGTTTAGTTTTTAGCTTTTACAGAGTGATGAAAGTGATGACGACGACGAAGGAAATGATACGCTAACTACACATGATGCTGAGAGAACTCGTGATCAGGAAGATGCTCTTGACGTGACCGTTGGTGTAAACCAAACAGAAGATGTGGTTGACGACAAACTGATGGTTTGTTCTGTGAAGTTATTAAAAGTTAACAAGCACTTTGTAAAGGTGAATGCTGGACACCAGAAAAAACTGGACGTTTCTGGCTCAAAATTGACTTTTGGGAATAATCATAAAGAACGGCTAGGTAATCCTTTCAACAGAATTATATGGTTAAGCAGCTGCTGTTTATCAGCGTAAACGGTCGCACGGGTGGTCGCAAAATTACCTGGAACCGTGAAAATCCTGCGGCGAACGTGTCGGCACGCTGCTCAGGTGCGCAGAAAAAGAGATGTAAAGAACAATGGTGCCCTAGTAAAACGGGTGAGGGTGCCGTTAATAAGTAGTGTGCCTAGTCTAGCTAGAGGTACGGCCGGTCGCGCGGCGTGTGATCTGTGAGAGGTAAGCAGGCCTTTGAGCTTTTACAGCTGCAGGCCTGTTCACCTCGCTCATGGGAAATTCATCTTGGAGGTTGGCGTACAGCACATCTTTCAAAAAAAAGATCATCTTTAGCTAATCAGCGCCACTGTTACAGATCTCAGACTTTGGCGATTCCGAAGTTTCTCCTTATCAGCTCAGATCTCGCATTCCTAATGTTGATGATTCTTCTCTATGTGAGTCACTGAAAGACTCATTTGCTCACGACAGCTTTGACACCTATACCGACTATCATGGGCAAGAAGTAGGCGGATTGTTTCTGCGCACTCGATTTTTTTCTTCCTCGAATTGTTACGTTCATGTTTTCAGATGCTCACTTTTGTTGAAAATCCTGATTACCTGAATTTTCTCCAGGGGATACATGCATCAACACCCATTCATGGTATGACACCTTTATGACATTCGAACTGAATCTTTAACTACCTTTCTGCGCTGATTTCGCTTCCAAAAAATTTCGCTGTGAACCACCAAAGTATAAGCTGACAGGGCTTTTTCATTGTGCTGGAAACCTAGAAAAGAAGTTCCAAGCTCTCGTATAAAAATTGCTATTTAGGAAATGAGAATACGCCTGCTGATGACGACGATCCGGACGATGAAGAGTACAACGTGTTGGCAGAGCTTGAAAGGCTCAGAGAGATTGAAAGAGACAAAGATGAACTGCGAATGGATAAATTCACAGAAATTCCATGTTAGTGTTCACGTTCTTTGTAGAAGTTGAGGTCTTACCAAACCGTTCTTCATATTTTGGATTTGAAAGCTCTGTTTTGCACGCGATGAAGTTATATAGTTTTTTTTCAAAGGGTCAAAATTGATTCTGTGCTCTGGGACATCTCACGACTTGATCATACGCAGTTTTGGTGAACTTTGGCATAGCGAAGCGGTCTATGAAGAGTCTTAGCTCAGTGGTGGTGGACAGAGCCAGAACTTGAGGGTTTGGCTTTTTTTACCACGTAACTACCCCCTTAGGTTGCGGGAGGTATTGAGGTCAAGGTAGAAACTGGGATGGAGTTGAAAGCCCTTCTATTGTCTTTTAATGAGTCTAGTGTTTTGGGATGAGTTTCCGTGTCATGGTTAATGTTGCTGAAAGTGATCCGCGCGACTACTTTAGCCACGAAAAATCTCACGAGTTCACCAATAAAAACCTGTTACATAGTGAAGGGCAACTCGCAGCATTTCATGAAATTCTTTTTCTTTATTCGTAGAAAAGTGCACTATTTCTTTCGTCGTGGGGAAACAGAGTGATGTGTTCGTGATCCCATAGTCCACCAATGTCATGGTTTTGAACAAATGAGAAAATGTGGCTCATCATCTGCTGTGTGGAGTGACTGTCGTTTTTAGTACGAGAGGTGGAAGGCCTTTTCCTGGATCCTGATTGGTGACGATGTGGAAACTATTCGCCCTGAACTTATGCCACCGCCGGAGCCGTCTCCAAAGAAGAAGCGATCACATAAGCGTCGATCAGCTGATGCCACCGACTCCAAGCGGTCGAAGAATGTGAGAATGTTTTTTTTTCATTTCATATAGACACACTGCGTTAGGTTTGCACGGAGGTCAAACTGGAGAAAACCATTGTTTTTTTGTGCTGTAGATTTAGATTTTCACCTCTATATAATAACTTTTGGATATGAGAAATGTGTACGGGAAGTTCAAGCCGTTTTGGAGAGCTCTCGTCCCTGTGATTGGCTTTTAAGCTCCATTAGTGCTCGAAAAAGGGAAAGGCGATATATCTCTTCCATCTCCCAGATTTCCACATGTGGCCTGGTGTCGGTAGGCTGGGTGGTTATTGGTAGAGAAAGTTTGGGGAATTTGACAGTTGTCAAGATGCCGCAATCAGGCACGTCTTACGTTGGGGATCCCAGCGAGGTGGATCATATTCGGTGGGAGGTTTGTATTCTGCAGACTTCATCACCAATGGTAGGATGTTCTCTGGTTGCGAAGCTATTTATCCAAAGATGATTTCACTATTGCATCAATTCCAAAAAGACTGTTCAAGGAGTTCGTAGCTGTGGTTACGATGCTTGCTTGTTTAGTAAAGAGACTAAACTGCGAAGGGTTTCTGGGAGTCTTTGAGAGTTTGTTTCATTCCTCTAGGTAGAGTGTCCATAATATTCTGTGCATGACTGATTTGCATGTTTTTCAGTCACTTCCGGTAGACGAACCACCTCCTGATGGATCCTATTCTTCTAGCCTGATCAGCGGTAAGATCTTCTTATAATGCTTCATATTTATAATAATTATCCGCTATCTTCTGGTCGCGACCTTTCAGGGGACTGCTGTGTATAAAATGTAAAGGTGGAGTGATAGACCCTGGTTCGATTTTTCCACTCAAAGAGGCAGCGTTGCGGCTTCTATAAAGTCAACCAGCTAGAAAAGTATGCGATGCCGCGACTCCGAATACATTCGAAATCTCATATCTTGTTGGAGCATAGGGGTGGCTCACGGACTCTTTGTATGGCATAGGTTGTGAATTTCGTCAAATAAATTGCGAGAACGTCTCCTATCGTAGCATTGAGTAGAACCCCACTGATGACGCAGTAATACCTGCTATGCGAACCTCAGTTCTCTTCACTGCTTCGAAACACAGGTCTCTGACATTTAGGAGTAATGAAGCTCCGGTTCAAAAATATGTTGTTGGTCCTCAAAGTGACAGAGACTATTTCCCATGCTAGCCAGTTGCTTATTATGTTAAAAAACTTTAGTTGGCGAGAGTACGCTCTAAACAATAGTGATTGGTATTATGGTTCTTACCTTTTCATTATTGAAGGTGAACCGATTACGTTCAAACTGGAGGAATTGGAACAGTTGCGAATCCAATTAGAACAGGTAAGTATTGGGCTTTGTTATCAAGCGTAACGAAATTACTTTCGAATAGTCTCATAGCGAAATTAATTCTTCATCTGATGGACCTTCATTTGAAAGCCACCTCTTACCTTTTGAGGAAAAAAATGGTATCTCATCTTTCAAACTTCATAAGCCTAAGAAATCGAGCCAAACTCGAACCACTCATTGCCTCCTGAAAGTTTGAATCAGGCTATGCTGCCGAAAAGCTGAAAGCTTGCTTGAATCATTTCGAATATAGGCGCTAACACTGAGAGCTCATATACTGTTTCCCCTCTAGTGTAAGAGCTTCAGGAAGCTCTAAGAGTTGTGATAGCTACTCACTAACCGGAAGGCAATCTCAAGCACTGACATGTGAAGTTGGAAGTATGCGTGAAACGAGACTTCCTCGTTTCTATTCTCTTCAGCCATTTTATTAAGCTGTTTTGGTGACAATACCACAAGTCTGGCTCGAAGACGTGCTTGCCAAGGGTCCAGCCAACGTACAAACCAGTGCTAGTCCGCATGAAGAATGTGGGGCATTCTGTAGACGGTCGACGGACCGGGCACTTTTGTAATACCCCTATAACCTCCTGTAAACCTACAAAGCTTTACTTTCTTCATTTACATCCTGTATGAATGCCCCGACCCCGCTTTATCACTCAAGAAACCTGTCCGTTTCCCTGCTGGTTGTTATTTTTCTAAATTCTCACTTAATCGTGACTTATCTAGCAGACTGCTGCTACTCTTGCCATCAGCTTGGCGGGATAATTTCTGCTCATACTTTTTTGAAGCCCAAATGACTTTTCGCACTACGGCCTGAAGAGTAAGCGAGTGAACATGATGGCAGATTGTTTTTTATACACCGTAAGGAAATGATCTTTCTATTAGTATCACAGGCTTGATCTCCTGCTTGCTCTCTTATCTGGCAATAATAGACAAGAAATGTTTATCGCGCGCTACGGCTTCGCACAACTCTTTCAGTGCTTCGCCAAGATCTTTCTTGCCTACTAGCGCTGGCGCCAACCATGACAGCCTGTCGATGCCGGAATAACGGACTCTGCATAAGGACGATGTCTTATCCATTTATCCAGACAAATCTCCACGGACGCTATGTTCTTCAAAGCGGGAGCCTACAGTTCGACAGGCGAAGTGAGGAATTTGGTGTACCTGTGAACTCAGCTTGGAGGAGAGGCAAGGGCTTGTGAGTCGAGAAACTGCTGGATGAAGAAACTGGTTCCTCGGTCAATCCGTACGCAAAGCAGCTACGAGATGAAGTGAATCGTCGATCAGAGGGAAAAACTTTGTCCGCAGAGTCCGCCTTCAGCGTGTCCTCTGCACACACTGTGGGTGCGTGCTCCGTCCAAAAAAGTTCATGCTGTTATATTTAGATGCTGCTCCCGTTGGCACCGGATGTAGTCCCGGATCATTGCTCTCTCGTAATTGCTAGTTGCCGTCCTTGTACTCCAGCCGTTAGTCTGGGCGATTAAAAAGCCTTAGAGACCCCGAGCCCCAGGTCAACCAGTTGAGATTAGTTCGCAACGTTGCGGTCGCCAGCCGGCTGTATAGTGAAGCGCGACTGCATCCACGAAGTGCTCAAAAACTGGCAAGGATCCCGCAGTAACATTGCTGTATAATTTTGATCTTGTACGCCTCTTTATACTTTTTATTGTTGCCTAATTTGAAGAAATGTGACAGAACATTCCCGCCAACCTAATATGGATAGCAGCTGTTCAGCTTGATGCAGCAAACCCATGTCGAGTTCATCTCTCAACCGTTTATTTGATTGCATTGCACTCCTTGCACGCCTTTTTTAAAATCAAGTTTTGCTTACCTTCTACAATTCATAGGCTTTTTGAATGTTTCAGTGTGCTTCAGGCTGCATTTTGCATCACTTAATTCACCATTATAGCACGTACAATTGCTCACGCAGTCTGTGGTGATGTGTTATCACGACAGTCGATTGATGCACATGACAAACGCATACCAGTTAATGATTGTAAGTCTTCTCGCTAGTTATTATAAATTGTTTGAGTACGATCTGCTGTTCCACGCAGCAGTTCGCGCTCTGAAAGTTGTCGCATGGACGCCGAGTCATGGGCAAAAGTGAGACCCCAGGCGGGACTCACATCCGCTTCTCCCGCTGACCGGGCGAGTGCGCTATCCATTACACCACTGGGGCGGCTCTTACCCTCTCCGCTCAACGGCTTTTGCGCCATTGTTTTTTTTCCATAACTGAGCATTCTTGTGATAGCGATTATAAGAGTTGCATCATTGCTGGAGTACTGAAGGAGGTTTTACCTTGATTTGACTTCCGATGATTTGAGGCAGATTGACTCTAGGAATTTGCAAGAAAAGCTAACAGCTACAAAATAAAACTCTAACATCAACGACAAAGGAAAAAGTAGGAATCAGGCGTTTTGCTTTGGCTTCATTCTATACGTGCACTAGAAAACACTGGCTCAGTGCTAGAAGACGCCTAAATCGTAGGTAATGTGGCTACTTTTTAAGAACGAACTGGACTCGCGTTACTATGCTGGAGGTGCTTCATCGTTCTTCAACATCGGTAATCTTGCTGCTGCCATTGAGTCATGCCATGACATTATGGGTGTCACTCCCGTGGCTCAGGAACACGTTCGATGGGATCCGACGCCATTTGGTGGGTCATTGTTTCACGCTGTTTCAATTGTTAGGATACCGTGAGGGAAAGTTGTGATATTGTCATGAAGTCAGAAACTCTGCAACCATTCATGGTACTGGTGGAGTTTCCATTTCCAAACTCAATTTACTGGTCTACATACTTACAGGGCGCCATGCTTTGTGGGACCTTAAGGGTTAATTTGATGTATAACGATGTAGTGTAATAACGGATCATCTCGAAAGCCAAAGGAGGACTGATAATCATTAAATGTTGCAGTGCTTCTGTTTGAAAAGTAATTCCTAGGAGTTTCCTAGGATTAGAGAGTTTCCAGCTTCATTTTTGCATATCTGGTGAAAACATCGAGTTTCGAAGTTCCTATAGAAGTTTTTGCCTTGAACATTGGTACATTAATTATCTCTCACCTACCCTTACGTTTTAGGATGGGCTCCACGACCAGAAGCCGCACTAGTGTTGGGCCGAAGTCGCGCCGTCATCTACCCTGATCTTCTACCTGGGGTGCAACCGGATCCTCTTCGATTTCAATCACCAGTTCTTCACTGCTGGAGAAGATTTACTTCTGGCTCACGCTCTAGTACAATTTCGCCATCTCCCTCATTCCAGTTCTCAGGATCCTTATGGACGGTACCTGCTAAGTGTCATTTTCAATTCACGTTTTGGGACTGACTTGGTCATTGCGATTAGTAATAACGCTACTGATATTTTCAGATTATATTGGGTGCAGAGAATGCTTTTACCTTGCAAAACGATAGCGCAGATACGTAGCCATCTCAGAGTTGCTCGTCATCACTACGACGGCGAAGTCAACAATCGCAATCCTTTGTATCACATAATTGTGGTGAGAGTTGCCATTTCTTTTGCCACCTTGTTTAGAGATATGTGGTCATGTATTGGGCGCGGTTCGGCGACGGAGGGAGGCATTGTGCGCTCTCGCTGCTCCAATAGTTCCGGTTCACTAGTCTTGCTCTGGTGGGGCCTGTGAACTTTTGTGAAGCTGGCACGAGCTGGTCGAGAAACGAGTGAATTGGTAGT